AGCTCTCTTATACCATTTCTGTTTCCCCTTAGCTTCCCTAAGTCAACTCTCTTCCTCCCTTACAAACCATCAGCGTTTGAACCACCACTACCTCCTCTCCTACCCGCCGTTGTGTTCTTTAATATCTGCGCAGCACAAGTTATAAGGACAGACGTCATGATCATCTCGGTAAAAGAAAATAAATTTTTCATGCCACGTTACCGGAAACAATGAGAATAATGATGTCAAAAGAGAAGATACAGAAAAATAAAAGCAATTACTTTTATTATCATTACTTTTTGCCTTCAAGCAATAAGTAACTATTGCTATTATTATTTTTTAACCCAGACAAGAAAGGGGACGAGTTATCAATAATAGAGTGATGGGTTTGGTCAGGTGGTCCTACCAGCGAATTCTCATCAGTCATCAATGATTCAAATTAAGACCACATACGAATAGGCATACCATCACTTAAATCATATAAGAACAGACTCAACACTTTATGATGATTGCCGGCTATTATTAAATATATTTAAATTTGTTATAGTTATGGAGATGTTAATTTCTCAAAATATAAGGGTTAGTCTATGATCCTACCGATGGGACGGTCCCGTCATTATAACTTATAGAAATGAAAATGTAATATAATATTTATTTAATTTATAACTTATAGAAATGAAAATGTAATATAATATTTATTTAATTGAACATCAATGCTAAAATTGTGACAGCTAAAATTGTAAGACACCAAGATAATTAGTGATCTCCTGTCATTATTACGCCATTTTAACGTCCTTATTATGTCAAAACTAAATTAAATTGTAAAAATAAACTAGAATAACTTAATTTCTTAGTGTTAGGCCTTTCAACACTAAATAAATGTAATATTATGTTACACGATATCTATTTACGTTAAATATATGTTACGTTCTTATTTTTACATATTACGATGGTTGGACCGTCCCACCAATGGGACCTGACAACACGCTTATGCATACATATTGCCCAGAAATTGAGGATGATGCATGTATTGATGTTCTGTTACGAGCATATGATGATGATGATGATGCAAAGATGGATAGGGATGGACATACATGTCTAAGCATCTGATTCTCATTCTGCAAAGTGGAAAGTCTCTCTTCAAGCTCAGAGTTCTTTTTCTCCAAATCTTTAACTCTAGTTTCCAGGTCACTCAAGTACGCCTTCTTCCTTTCCCTTGCTTGTTGCGCTGAAACTCTGTTCCTCAGCAATCTAATTTACATTTTTTTTTGTTTGAGGGACAAAAAAAAGAACACAATAACTGCCACTGGCCCCAAAAATAAAGGCCAAAAAGAGCAGAAGAACAAATGCAAATAATAATATATTGCAATACAATTATCCATTTTTACCTCTTTAGCCTCTTGCTCTCTTTGTCAGCCGGGTTTCTTCCTCTCTTTCTCTGCCCTTCCCCTGCGACCAGGACCCGGTCCGGACCGCCCACCGAACCGGTATCTCTGCCAGAAGCCGATGCTCCGCCCGATTCGCCGCCGATCTCGGGAACTCTTCTGATCTCCTCATCGCTTTCCATCGCTATATTTCAGGAAAAATAAAAGAGAGAATTTTTAAAGATTTTTTCTTTACGAAAATGAAATCAACAATCAAATAAGATCGTCACCGTCCGTTGCTTTTCAAGTCAAAGAGATTAAAGACAGTTTTCTAAAATGCAATTCCAGGGAAAATTAAAAAAAAAAAAA